CCCATGGTCTGCCATCGCAACGCGTCGCGCTCTGCAGCAACCACGACGGTGACGGCCGCGCGCTTTCTCTCTGCCACTGTTCTATAAATCAGCGTCGCGTGTCGAGAAAGTCTCAGCACGCCGCACCGCGGCCATCAACCCGAGCTCGACATCCAGCAACACCGCCTTGGATCACGACGCGTCCATCAGCTCGCTCCAGACGACCAAACCGGCCAATAATGCAAGTCAAAATGCCCGGACACGCGCCGTCGTCTGCCGCACCCACCGCCGCGTCTGCGGCGGGCCCGTTTTTCAAGGCGCCGCGCGGCATCTACCTCGACAGGTTTAACCGCTTCACGAGCACCGACATGTTCCAAGATGTAAACCTGTTTGGCCAAATGTATGGCGACCGCGCCAGTGGACCCGACGCGCTCGACCTGGCCGTGTTTTCCGTGCCCGACGGCAAGCGAATGTATGTTCTGGCATTTCATGATTTCAAGAAGATCGTTAGCGAAAATTGACCCGTTTGGTTGCGGCCCAGCTCGTTTGAGGAAGCCGTCAAGGGCGAATTCAAGCCGACGCGTGCCGGCGAGCGGTTTGGGCCGAGTTGGAGCACACATTGTACGCGACTCGGTTGTTGGTTTGGGCAAGGACGTGACCAAATCCACTCACGACGTGCCTTCTCCTCCAACCTCGTCACATTGCAGGGTTCAAGGTTGGTTTCTCCCTCCATCACGCATCCATTTCCGCACAAGTGCCGGGCTGATCCTTTCGTGCACCCATAATCCAGGTCAAGTGCACGATCCCGGCCGCGTGGAAGGGCGAGTCGGTCGTGTTTGTCTTTAACGCCGAGTCGGCTGAAGGCCAAATCTACTCGACCCACGGTGACCTGATTCACGGCCTTTCGGGCGGTGGCTGGGGCGACACGAACCGCCGCACCGATTATATCATTGCCCGGCCCGCGAATGGCGACGAGGTCGTCGAATTTTACGTCGAAATGGCGTGCAATGGGCTGTTTGGCAACGGCGGTACGTCCTCATCGATCAGATGGACGCATAAGTCGGACGAGTTCTGATAGCTTGCCGCCTTGGTTTGTACAGAGGGCGGCATGATCGCGCCGCCGAGCGAGAACCGATACTACACGCTGCAGGAAGCGCACATTGCCGTGTGGAACGAAAAGGCCCAGCAGCTGCGCATGGATTGGCACATTATCCGCGACATGGCGCGCGTACGTTCCTCCCCTCCCCCCCTCGAGCGCATAAGAACGCATTCGTCGCTCACTGCTTCCTCCGCTCGCTACAGGAGCTCGACCCGGCCAAGAACATTAGGTCGCAGCAGGCGCTCTACGCGGCCAACCAAATCATGGACGCATGGTACACGGGCCAAGGGTTCGACGCGTGCCTCGCAATCGCGCACGAGTTTCTGGCCGTGCCCGCCGAACCCACGGCGGTCAACGTCACGTCGGTCGGCCACTGTCATATCGACACGGCGTGGCTCTGGCCCTACGACGAGACCAAGCGCAAGGTCGCGCGGTCGTGGTCGACGCAGATCTATTGTCCGTTTGCTCGTTGCTCGGTCTCACTGCGGAGCTCGTTGTGTGCGCGAACACTTACACGGCTCGCCCCATCGTGTAGTCATGGATGAGTACCCCGAGTACCGGTTCGTCGCGTCACAAGCGCAGCAGTTCACGTGGCTCAAGGAGCAGCACCCAGCGCTTTTCGAGAAACTGCAGACCAAGGTCGCGTCGGGGCAGTTTTTGCCGATTGGCGGCAGCTGGGTGGAAATGGACGGCAACTTGCCGTCGGGCGAATCGTTTGTGCGCCAGTTCCTCTACGGCCAGCGATTCTTTGTCGACCATTTTGCGCACCGGTCCAAGATCATGTTTGTACGTCTTTTCCTCATTTGATTCTTGTTTCTTGCAAACCCGCACTCGTACCCCACCTCTGACCTCGTCGCTTCCTTCTCCACCCGCTTTCAGGTCCCCGACACGTTCGGCTACTCGGCGCAGCTCCCGCAAATCGCGCGTCTTGCCGGGACCCCCTACTTTTTCACGCAAAAGCTGTCCTGGAACAACATCAACAAGTTCCCGCACACGACCTTTGTCTGGGAATCACCCGACGGCACGGGCCTGCTGACGCACTTTTGCCCCGCCGATACCTACACCGGCCAGGCGACCGTCGGCGAAGTCGTCAAGCACGTCACGAACCACAAGGACCTCGCGACCACCACCTCGGCGCTCTACCTGTTCGGCAACGGCGACGGTGGTGGCGGCCCGACGCGCGACATGCTCGACCGGCACCGCCGCATGGGCACGCCCTCTGGGACCGCGGGACTCGGCGCGATTTTGACTCCAGGCGACCCGACCGACTTCTACCGTGAGGTCGCGCAATCGAGTTTGACGAAGCTCGCGCGGTGGCGGGGTGAACTCTACTTCGAGCTGCACCGTGGGGTCATGACGACGCACGCGCTCGTGAAGCGGCGCAACCGGCAGTGCGAGGCGCTGATGCGCAATGTCGAGTTTGCTTGGGCGGTCGCGGTCGCGACGGGGAAGTGTGACCCGGGCAAGTACCCGCGCGAGGAAATTGACCGGTGCTGGCAGAAAGTGCTGCTGAACCAGTTTCATGACGTTTTGCCGGGGTCGTCAATTGGCGCCGTGTACGTTGACGCGCACCGGATTTACGAGGAGGTGCTCGACGAGGCCGGGAAGTTGCTCGAGGCTGGGATCGACGTGCTCGTGGGCGTGCCCGCCAAGGATGCGGAGCGCGACGCGTGGGTCGCTGTCAATGTTCTCTCACACGCGCGGACCGAAATCGTCGAAGTGCCCGTGCGCGACCGCGCGGAGTGTGTGCAGGTCGCGCGTGGTGGCGAGACGGCGCTGTGCGTCGTGCAGGTCGATGCGATGGGGACCGCGCACGTGGATCCGGCGGCGAACGTCGATCTGCCGCCGTTGTCGGCGCGGGAGGACGGGGGCAAGGTGGTGCTCGAAAACGACTACGTGCGGTACACGTTCAATGCGCGCGGGCAAGTCGTCGAGGGGTACGATAAGCGTGCGGACCGCGTCTTCGTGGATGCGGCAAAACCGGCGAATACGTTTGCGATGTTTTCGGACGTGCCGCTGTTCTGGGATGCGTACGTCGTTCTTAGGCGTTGGTTCAAACTATGTTGCTGTTAGGCTCACCTCGTGATGGCGGTTTTGATTTAGCTGGGACGTCGAATTCTACCACCTCGGCATGCGTACCGAGGCGACCGACGGCACTTGCACGATCTCCGAGACGGGCCCGTTGCGCGTGAGCGTCGACATCACCGTCAAGGTCTCGTCTACATCGAAGCTCACGCAAACTGCGTCTTTGACCCCCTCCTCGCCCAATCTCGTCTTCGACACGTCCGTGTCGTGGCACGAGGCACACCAGCTGCTCAAGGTCGAGTTCCCGCTGCAAATCGTTTCGGACGTGGCCAACTACGAGGTGCCCTACGCGGTCATTCAGCGGCCGACCCACGCCAATACGTCCTGGGACCTGGCACGGTTTGAAGTGTGCGCGCACAAGTTTGCTGATTTGTCCGAATACGGGTACGGCGTGGCGATCTTGTCGGACGCGAAGTACGGGTTCTCGTGCCGCGGGTCGGCGCTGAGCATGTCGATCTTGCGCGCGCCCAAGTCGCCGGACGCGGACTGCGACATCGGCGATTATCACCGGTTCCGGTACGCGATTGCTCCGCATGACGGGCGACTGGGGGAGAGGACGGTGCTGGATGCCGCTGCGTTTAACAGTCCGTTGGTGTTACGGTACGGTTTGCGGTTTGTTAATTGCTGCCCCGCATGGACCTGGCGTGCGGAACTGATCTGTGAACGAAACTACGTAGCCCCGTCCCGCGCGACCTCGCCGCCCGCTCTTCCAATTTCCTCTCAGTATCTCCGGCCCACGTCCTCCTCGACGCCGTCAAGCTCGCCGAGCCGGGTCCTGCGGGCACGGAGACCGACGTGATCATTCGGCTCTACGAGTCGCTTGGCGGGCACGCGCCCAAGACGCGCATCGAGTTTGGTCCCGCATGGCGCGCCTGGTCGGCTGCGGCGGTCACGCTCCTCGAGGATGCGCCGGTGGCCGATGATCCGGACGAGGTGGCGGTGGGCGGCGCGCCGGTGATGCCAGCGGTGGAAGTGGTCGAGGGCGGGAAGGCAATCAAAGTTGCGATGCGGCCGTTCCAGATCGTGACGCTGCGGGTCGTCGTGGAACCGGTCGCGTGAGAACGTCTTTGGGAGGAGGGGGCTGGCGGGACGTTAATTTGTTGGCTCGGGGTCCATGCCGATGCATTCAATACAGGAACGAGACGAAGGGCGACTTGACTTGTGTCTGCTCGAGAATGGAACGCCGACGCTTCATCACTGATCAGTTTGCGCTCGCCAAACGGCAGAAGGTTGCTTGCCTCCCTGTCGCGTGCTGCACTTAGCACACCGCATGCATCCATCTGTGAACTTGTGGCAAGGTGGAATCATCCTCTTTCAGGGCCTCCTTCTGGGTTCGATTCCCGGAAAGAGCAGATATATCCTATTTCTTGCTTGATCACGAGATCTGGTCGCGTTTGTCTTAGGTCCTCATCGTTTTGCTGGTTTAGTATAGCCATCGACATGCGTCAGGTGACAGCCGCCATACTTAGCGACGAGGACAACGTGCGGTCAGAATTGTCATTATATGGGTTAATTCCAACAACCACTATATGTAGAAACCAACTCAGCTCACAGCTCGCTCACAATGACGCGTTGTTGAGTGTAAAATGGTTTGCCACTCCCCTGCGCGGGATCGCGTGCATTTTGTTACTTTGTTGCTGCTGGCGTGCTCAAGAATGTTCGTTGATCGTGCAGAGCACCTGTTCGCCGTTTTGCTGAGGGACAGCAGGACAGCACCACGGTTGCTTGCAGCCCAACCACGACTTGAATCGCTGTGCCCGTGACGCAACTGTGGACTGGACTGTCGCAAATAAAACTAGGATAAAAATAGAACGTGTGTGTCAATCAGGTTTGATGCGCACTGTTGGTGAAATGGTATCATGGAACCCTCCCAAGGTTTCGGCCCGGGTTCGATTCCCGGACAGTGCATTGTCTTTCTGTTGGCGGGCGACGCGTAATTTGCAGCGAGGATCAACGCCGGCATTGTTGACTAACTGTTTTGCCACGGCGCACGCCCACCTGCATCCTTGCACACACGACTTGTCAACAGGACGCGCGGCCAGTTGTGTGTCGCTGGCACTCGCGGCCGCTCCACATCGCAGCGCGGCAGCCGAGACCAGACGATAATTTCCCGTCAGCCGCGGCGATTTGATCTCAAGCAGAAGCTTCCCCCTGATCCCCGATCTCGCACCCGCAACTGGACGCACAGCAACGTCGCCCGCGCCCTCGCGTCGGAGACGCCCCCGTCGCGCGCGATCTCGCCGGCCCGCCCAGTCCATGCCACGGAGAGGGGGCCAGCACGGGGCCGACCAGCATCCTGCGCCCCCCCGCATCCCCAGCCGCCCTCCCCGCATTACCCCTTGCCTTCCGTCCCGCGCGCACGCGCCAGCGCCATGGCGAGCTCGTTCGAGTCGACGATCCTGACCAGCGGGTCGGGCGACGACCTGCTCGCGCTCGTGTTCCCGCCGACCGTGCACCGCGTGAGCCTGCCCTCATTCGCGCCGCCGCCGCAGCTTGCCATGGTCCATGCATCGCGGTCTCAATCGTCGCTCGGCGAGCTGCTTACACGACCCCCCAACGCGCCCGTGCCGCCCGCACCGCCTGGCGGCGAGTCGTCGGCGGGGTCAGCGCCCGACTTGTCGCTGCCGCCTCTCGCAAGCAGTACGCCCGGCGGCAGTACCGACGCGCTTGCGGGCCCGCCGGCGCACCTGATGGCGTCGATGGGTTGCCTCCAGCGCGACTGCAACGAGCCGCTGTATCTCGAGACCGCATGCCGCGTGCTCGTGCCGGTGCCGACACCCGGCGCGTCGGCGAGTACGCCGAACACCACGAGCCCGCCGAGTGCGAGTCCCGGCCATCGGGTGGGTACCACCCCATTGCCTCACGCCGGCCTGGCGAATGCTGATCACGAACGCGTATCGCAGCTGTCGGGCCATCTCGATTCGGACACGAAGCCGTCGCCGCGACCCATTTCCCCGGCGGTTTCGTTTATCGTGCACACGATGGAGTTTCCGGCCACCTTGGAAATCAATGACACGACGTTTTTTATTCGTGGGGATGGGTTTCCGGAGCAAGTACGGTTCTACCAATTGGAAGTACTAAACGTCCTCCGATCCCGGTCTGACAAATGGTGTGTTAGACGTACCAACTGCCCGCGGCGCGCGTCTCGCTCGAGTCGGAGCCGCGCGTCGAGATCCACGAAATGAACCCACCGTACCGCGTCTTATTCGAGTCAGCCAGCGGGTCGACGACGATCTTGCTCGATTCGCTCGTGCTGTTTGTCGATGCGATTCGGAAAATCAACCGCAAGGTACGGCGCGCCGGGGGTTTCGGTTCGAGGCAGTGATAAGTATGCCCATCACTGACCTCGGGTCTGCCTGTAGTTGCGCATCAGAAAGAGGATACGCGAGGACGCGGCCGCAGTCAAGATTCAGCGCGCCTGGCGGACACATGTGTCCGTGCCCCCACTCTTTCATCGCTGATCACCTCAAACCCCCCAACTCACCCTCCCCTCCTCTCTCCTCTAGCGCCTGCACCCGATACCTCCGCCACCGGCGCGCCGCCCTTCGGCTACAATCCTGGTACCGGCGGCACCGCCTGCGGCACGCGCTTCTCGCGCACGTCGCGCACCTACAGCGCGCCCTGTCGCGTCGGGACCAGCGCGCGCGCATCATCAACGAAATGGTCACAACCGAAGAATCGTATATCCAGAACCTCGACGTGCTCGTGCGCGTGTGCCTGCGCCCACTGCGCAGTCTGTTCCGCAGTATGCCGGGCGTGCCGATCACCGCGCACCACATTGACGTGATTTTCGGTAACGTCGAGGCGATTCTCGACCGGCATACCGAGTTTTACGAGGCGCTGGTTGCGGTCACCGGGTTGCCGACGGTGTTTAGTCCCGTTGATGGGGGAGCGCCGGTGGGGGCGGGAAGGTCGTGGTCGCCGACGGGGCATATCAAGGACCAAGTGGCCGCGTCGTCGTCGAGTACGGCGCCGGTGGAAGGCGATAGTGGTGTGCAGAAGTCGGCGACACTAGCGGTCGAGACGATCACGGTCAAGAAGACGCTCGGGCAAGTGTTTTGCGACATGGCGACGTGGCTCGACGTGTATATCCCGTACTGCAACAATTATAACGACAGCAAGCAGGAGCTCGACCGGTGCCTGAAAGTGCGCGAGTTTGCTGGGTATCTCGAGGTACGTATTCTTTCCCTGATTGGTTCGGCCTGGGTGTGAGTGCTGACGGGCGAGTTGGGTGTGCAGAGTGTCAAGTCGCTCAAGATTTCGCAAAAGAACGATCTCGCCTCGTTCTTAATTCTTCCCGTACAACGGTACGTCCATCCGCGTTGCGACACTCGTTCGACCACGATCTCACTCCATTCCGCCCGCACTTCCCACAGTGTTCCACGGTACGAGCTCCTCCTCAAGACGCTCATCCGCAACACCGAACCCGACGACCCGGAACTGCGTGCGCTCGAGCGCGCGCTCGACCGCATCCACCACGCCGCGCAAGTCATCAACCGCGCGAAAATGTACAACGAGGCGCGACCGCACTTGCACGAAATCGTCAAGGGCATGCGCAAAGTCGCCTTGACTACGGGCACCGGCCCACTCGCGGCGCTTGGCGACGCCACGTCCGAGCTCGCGGCCTTGCTCAACTCGTCCGACTCGAAGGGCCAGTTCTTGGGCGAGGGCCCGGCATGGTACTCGACGTCGCGGTCGGCGAAAGCGATTGCCGTCTACCTGTACCTGTTTGTCGGGCAGCTGATTGTCACGGTGCCGAAAGGCGGGTTGCTGCGTGGGCGGAGCGATAACGGCGCCGGTGCGGTTGGCGGCGCCGGTGGAGGACCGGCGAGTAGCGGCGCGGCTGTGGCATCGACGGCTGCAGGCCTCGCTAAGAACAGCAAGCTGAAATTCCTCGCGTGGATCCCGCTCGTGCACGCGCAAGTGTTTGACAGCGACGCGGCCCCACCGACCGTCGCGTCCCCGTCGAGCGGGCCGTCCGGGACCACGCAAGGATTCTCGTTCCTCGACCCGGACAACACCCGGCTCCGCACGGCCTCCGAATCGTCAGCATCCACGACGCACTCGCCGCACCTCGGCACGAGCTTACCTGGCCGGTCGGCTGACCCGAGCCCCGAGCGCTCGCCCTCGCCCGCGCGCCGGGAGCACGCGTTTGTGATTGTCGAATCCGTCGCGGCAGACCCGGCCGAGGCGCTATTGGACGCGGCGCCAATGTGCCACAAGTTCACGGTCGATTCGAGGGACGCGAAAATGAAGTGGGTCGACCAGGTGTCCGAGGCCGGGATGATGGCGATGCTGCAACCGAGATCCTCGGAACTGTCGCCAGACTTCGACAAATTGCATGGGTCCGGGTCACGGCCCGCGAGTCCAACGGACCGCACGGACCGGTGGTGGCGAATGACGCCGCCGCGCGCCGGGAACCCTACCGCCGCCGGGACCACAGCGGCACCGGCGCACGCGGGCGGGCTGGGCGACGACGACCAGGCGCGGACGTGGCTGTGGCGCACGGCGACGACCGCGGGTAACGCGTCGGGCCCAACACGCAAACCGTCAAGCACGGGTTCCGCGCGGGAGTCGTCGCGCACTGGCAGCCCCAGGGGCACACTGAAGCGTCACTCGTCGCAGAACTCGGCCACCAAAATGGGCCGGTCGCTGGGGGACCTGTTCAGTTCCGCGGCGCACGTGTCGTCGTCCCCGATCGCTTCGACCGACGACGCCATGGCCCCATCGCCGCCCGACGCGTCTTTCCGCGCACGCAGTTCCAGTAACGCCTCGTCGACCCCCGCGTCGGTCGTCGATTCGAATTTGTTCCGGCGCGCATCGGGCCGGTCGCCCCCCAAGGCATCGGCGCTCGCGGCGACCGCCGAGGAGGATTCGCAATTGCCGGTGCCAGTGCCATGCGCGCTCAAAGAGCGCGCGCAGAGTACGACTGTATTGGTGAATTCGCTCGAGTCGGCGCACCCCGCGCGGCACGCCGCGGCGGTCGCCCCGTCGAACGAGTCACTCGCGTCGTCCACGGCGTCTGGGAATTTGACGATTGCACGCAAGTCGGGCGGGAGCGGGTGGCGGCTGGGCGGGAGTAGCAGCAAGAGTACGGGCGGCGGAGGGAGTTTAGGCGCGGTGGGAGGCGTGGCGACGACCAAGCAGCGCAGTCTGGGCAACTTAATGGCGTTCCTCTCGGGGGGAGGAGATCGGGATAAGGACAAGGACAAGGAAAAGGGCGGCGGTGGGGGTGGGGGTGGGAGCGTATCGGGGTCCCGGCCAGCGTCCGAGGATTCGGTGCGGGGGCCGAGTCCGTAATCAGCAAGCAAGGGACTGAGCGCAGCGGTGGTGGAGAGTGGGAGGTACTTGGTGGAGAAGGGGGGACTCGAGGGCCGCGTCGTGGGTATTGCATAGACTCGGGCGAAATAGGATTATGTGCTTGGCAAGCGGGCAGGAAACGAAGGCAACAGTTGTCGAAAAGTTGTCAAAACCAAGGAGCCCACACTCCCCTCTATTTCATTTCAACAAGGCAGCACCAAAAAAAGGATTTCAATCCAAAAACACGAAACCGTGGGCATCGCAGAGCCCAAGGGACCTGCACTTGTGCCGTGCCCGTCCCCAGGGATGCGTCTTGCACTCACTCCACACCACCTCGAGGCCCAACTTAGGCCTCCACAATCACCTCATCGTCGGCCGCAGCCGCATCGTCCTCGTCGATCCACTCGAGCGTGCGCTGCACGGCCTTCTTCCACTTGCGGTACCGGCGGTCGCGCGACATCTGCGACTCCTTGCTCTCAAACACGTCGGCGCCATCGGCATTCACCGCCTCGAGCTGCGCGACCGTGATCGCCTCAGTCGCGAGACCGGCCGCAATCGCGGCACCGAGCGCGGTCGTCTCGCGCATAGCGGGACGACGCACGGGGATC